AACCCGAGGTAAATTTTTCCTGCCGAAGCTGGTCGTAACCCGAAACGTCCGTTCGTAGAGGCGTTCGTATCCCGAGGTACCACTGTACATACAGTTTGTGGGACTCCTAAGAGCTGATTCTGAGGATTCAGTCAAGCAAGATCCTACCAACTGTAAAGTCCACCACCATTGACAGGATCATGTTTGATGAAGGAGGAGGATGCTGAGTTAGGTCAGGATGTGGTCTGCAATGGAAAGCCTTGACTGACCCATTCAAAAAATGGTCTACCTGAGAAATATGGGACGAGGTCATGGAGAAAGGCACCGCAGCTATGATGGTGGCAGGAATCCAGGTCTGCTTGGGCACTGATGGAAGACTTGAGGAAGTGGGGCAGTGTACAGGTAGAAGGAGAAGGTCCCCCCCCCCCTTATATCAGAGACTGTGGAAGTTGCCCTTATACAGTCAGAGCCAACAGAGTTCTGTTATCTGCACCATCACATGTGTACAGTCTGCAATCATGACACCCTGACACAGCAATGCTGTGTAGTCTAGACCACTGGTCCTCAGTGTGGGCCATATGCCCCCCCAAGGGGTCCTGCCATATTTCTAGGAAGCCTTATGCTGCTGCTAGACATTTTGTGTCTTTAAGAATGTTCTTTGCTGTTACATCTGGATAGAATTAATTGTTTTTTTAGCTATTACAAATACATTGTCTTTGTAATATAAAGTGATGTTATATGATACAGTTTAGACTAAGAAACAGTGCTGATGGTAAAGTACCTTTTTTCCAGCTATCAGGGGGGTCACAGGGGCAAATAAGGCTCAGAAGAAGACCAAAAAACGTTGAGAACCCCTGGTCTAGGCCAGTGTTTCTCAACCTCGGCAACATTAAGATGTGTGGACTTCAACTCCCAGAATTCCCCAGCCAGCAGTGAAGTCCACACATCTTAATGTTGCTGAGGTTGAAGAACGCTGGCCTAGAAGATCCTGTGGCAAAGGACCGGAGTCTTCTCAGGCTTCAAAACATTTAGCTCTAGAATGTCCCAACGCACCCTTTGACAGACACAAAACCCATCATGCACAGACACCCCAAAGAAAGAACATACTTTGAAGACTCAGTTACATCATGCAACAGGAGTGGGATATATTTCAATGATGGCCAGAGTATGGGAAAATGCAGGCCCTTCCCCAGGTGAAGCTAAATATAAATACTTTCTCCAAAGGAAGCACTGAATTAGAAACGCAGGACTGATGAGGACTGCCATGGCCTTCCAGTAAGAAAGATGAATCATTTCATGACAGGGCTAAGAATCCTTTGCAAGAGGCCCACTGTCTTCCCACTATGGCCACCGTCACCCCGGGTTCCTTGGAAAGAAGCAAAAACGATCCATCTCTTTTCAGGCTACAGCATCCGTACAGGCACATACCTATTGGATAGCATCAGTCAGTGCCCTGGATTTCGGGGAGCCCTGCTAAGAAGTCATTACATCCTGGTAACTGAGATGATATGAATCCCTGATGAGAAACCCTTTAAATAAGTTCTCCAGATCAAGGTAGTTTAAGGCTACGTGTCATGTGCCACTCAATAGCTCATCTTCAGAAGGAGCCCAATGGCTCTTGAAGTTACTGCGCCTACAGCGTCACCAACAGAAGAGAATATGTGCAGCTCAGGGTTGACCTTATTGGTATCTCCAAATCAATTATCCCCTCCGTGTTAGGGTTATGCAGTGGTACAGGTCTAGTTCAAAAGAGGTGCTTTGGTGTGTGCGACGGAATACAGTTACTTCTCTGTCACTTATAAACAGAGCCACACCTGTTTCCAGCATCTGCATAATCCTGGGAAAAACTGTGCCTGTTTTAATGTGGACACCACCCAGTGTTGAGTCTGTGCTCCTGAAGACCTCCGTGGACTTCTGAATTCAGCCTCAACACTAGACAACCCTACTCCATATTCCCTTTTCCCCTAATTCGGTGTTTCTCTTTGTCTTTCATCTTCCTATCTTGGATGCTTAACTAGGTATTTAGAAAAGGGGCTTGTAGACTGACAGGAGAAACATGCTGGCTAGAAAAGAAATGTAAGGAAAAGCTGCATATAAAAATGGCCAAAGGGGGAATAAATATTAAAACCGATGAAGCAATTTTCCAACACTCTGATAGGGAGCCATAAGCCTCCTCCTGGTGATAAAAGCCTATTATTCAATACTTCTGTAAACCTTCTTGGCATTTATCAAAGAACTTACCTTTTCCCTAAAACTCTTTGCAGTGGCATCCAGATGGATTTTTGTCAAATTGTATCCAGTTGTGGTAGGTAAAGATATCTTTGATTCACTATTCTTCTTTTCTGGGGGTTCATTCTGCGCTGTTGAGGAAAACTATGGTTTAGCAAGACTCCTATCAGTTTTCTTGGAACAAGAAAAATAACACGATTGATAATGAAGCTCAAGCTCAGATACTTTGGTCACCTAATGCGAAGAGAGATCTCTTTGGAGAAGACTCTCATGCTGGGAAAGATTGAAGGCGAAGGAGAAGATTGAAGGAGAAGAGGACGGCAGAGGATGAGATGGTTAGATAGCATCCCTGAAGCAACGAGCATGAAACTGAGCAAACTCAGGGAGGCAGTGAAGGAAAGGAAGGCCTGGCACAATATGGCTCATGGGGTCACGAAGAGTCGGGCACGACTGAACGACTGAACAACAGCAACAATACAGACTGTTTTGGATCACTCGAAGCAATTAACTTGATGTCCAAGTCACCACCGCACAGTAACATTTTCACTATTGCACAGCTTTGTAAAACTTCGCAGAAATCGAAAATAAACCAAACGACAATAACAAATATTAAAATAGGTGAAAGTATTGAACCAAAAAAAAAAAAACCAAAATCTTGCGAGGTTTTATGCCAAAACAGATATACTGCAGACATTGGCTTTCTTGTACTTTCCACTGATTTAACCTTTATATTCAATTTAAAAAATAATAATTTAAGATTCAAGGGGCACCAGTACAGATTGATAAGGGGATGTTTATGGGTCCCATTTATTTATTTATTTTCTATTCATTCATCCATCCATCCATCCATTCATTTTATACAAGAACCTTACAAGGTAGTCTAATAAAGCCCATAGATAGAAACAGAGAAAGGAACAACTTCACACTTACTTTGCCACCCATTTGCCATTCCTGCATCGGTGCCCTGCACTGCTGTTAACCTGCTGTAAACACAATCTTTGACAAAAAGCAGATGCCAAAGCAGCTTAAAAGGCTGGAAGGCTGGAAGTTCAGAACACATTTTGGGAAGAAGTCATTGAGAGAGGAGTGGCCAATGACTCCCCTCCCTCATGTTTTGGGTGTGAAACGTATTGGATGTCTACAAACATCCACAGAGAACTTCTATTTAAGGTTTCTTGCAAAGAGTTGGCAGGGGGAGGAATGGGCACCTGGCCTTTAGGGCTGCCCCTTTTTACAGAAACAATCAATTCTTTCCTGAATGCCTTCTGAGGCCCAGCATCCAGGATAGGAGATGCCTTTGAGATGGACCAGGAGTAAGTTCTTGTGTCCTTCAAGTTCCAGCTTCGTGTCCACGGCCCTCTTGGGAAGGTCAGGTCTTTCCAGCTTGTCCCCCTCCTGCCCAGATTCCTGGAGCTTTCAAGATCTTTGCTATTTTCACACAGCTCTGCTTGAGCTCTGGTCTGAATGCATAACATGGCTTTCTTTTTTTCATGCAGCTCCCTCGCTTTTTATCATAATGGTCTTCCTTTTCAAATATGCAAACTGCACTCTCAAAGTCAAATGCATATTTGGGGTAGCTCTGGCAATTGTGTGAAGTTCTCTTCTATTACAATATATTTAGAAATCTTGTGTCAGTGAAATTCTTAACGTGAACAATATAATATCACTTAGAATTATTACTATTATTATTAGAAGCAGGGACTCATACACATAAAATGAGGTGGGACTTTGATCCTCCCAAGCAGACCCCCTGCTCGGTATATACAGGTTTAGAGAAACTCGGTTTTATTGCATAAGTAATTGTATTGCAAAAGCCAGTTTGGTATCGTGGTGAAGGCATCAGGCTAGAAACTGGGCGATGGTGAGTTCTACTCTCACCTAAGCACAAAGCCAGCAGGGTGACCTTGGGCCAGTCACTCTCTCTCAGCCGTAGGAAGCAGGCAATGGCAAACCATCTTGCCAAGAAAACTGCAGGGACTTGTCCAGGCAATCTCCGAGAATCAGACATGACTGAACAGATTTTTCTGTTCAAAATTGTATTACAGACAGGATTGTGGAACACAGTATGAGAAGAATATGAGTTGGTGTGGAGCAAGTTAGGGAGGAGAATGAATGAATGATATGAATGAATGAATGTTCCACCATGCAACATATTATTTCAGCATAGGAAGCTAAGTAGAGAGGGAAAAGTCTAGTGTTTCATCCAACATGGTGATTTTCTACATACAGGATACTTTTATTTTCAGAGAAAGCCTGTAATAGAACAGTCCATGTATGATTTATTATGGGGTCAGATCTGCCCTTCCTACTTGGCCCATCAGCCGTATGGAATACTTAAATTCAAAACTTAATTTCTGAACTGAGTTGTTTTAAGCTCATTAGAGCTGGTGATCTCCAGCACTTTGCTTTGATCTAACAAGACCCCTGGTTTTGCTTGGGTCCCCCCTCCTTGGGCTGCCTCTTCATCCTGGGTTATGTTCTATTTTATCCGCTGGTTGACAGTTGACAATTTTTTATTAGAGGATGGTAGGAATCAAAGAACAGCCTGCTCCCTGTTGCTTTGATCATTGTGGCATCAGAGCAACAATGGTACCAAAGGGGAAAAAAGAAAAGAAAGGGTCTGCCTCAGTGCCAAGGAAGATAATTTGGGAAGGCATCCATGTGTGCAAACATCTGGGAAAGCAGAGGAATGAGTGCGAGGAGGAGGGAACAATCCCTAAAGGAGAAGGCTGGTCCAGGTAGACAGGTCCACCCAGGGTCCACCCAGCCAACTGGGCTTGCCTTCCTGCTTGGATGGGAAGGGCAAGAAGCAGGGGAATGTCCAATCAGGGCTTGTGTGGCCATAGCCCAACCCCGCCTGGAATTTCTGAAGATGGCTTATGAAACAGCTGGGAGCAGCACAGGAGACAAGTAGCTGAAATTGCCCTTTGTTAGGATTATCATTCATTGATAGAGAAATAGTTTCACAAAGGTTTCTGGATGGTTCCTTTTTCCCCCCAGGATTTTATAGTCTGTGGAGTTTGCTTGATGTTCCAACCTTGCAATAACACAGCCCCCTATATTTTGTATATTAATTGGAGAAACCAAACTTTGTAACAGTGAAAGCATGATTTAATTCCACTTCCCTCAACCCCCTTAAGATGCCTACCTGAATCGGTAATCTTTTGTGTCATCTTTCTCTTTTTTTTTTCCAAACTTATGCCGAGATATTGCAAAAACTCTTTATAATTCAGGGTATTTGTTCTCGAAATACAGTATCGATTCCATAATCTAAAAAACAAAACACAAGTTCATTAAAGTAAAATTTTGGAGGATAGACTAATGAAATGTTTAATTGTGCATACAATTGACAATGAATATAGGAATCAAAATAAAAGCTGAGCAAGACCTTTTCTTTAATTTGTACATTCTGTTCCCCACTACAATGATTTATTTATCATTGCCCACTGTACAAATCACTCTCCGGGGATCAATTTCCCCTAATCAGCCTGGGAAGATTTTGAAGGAAAGGGATGTTCATCTTTTTACTTCTTTTTCTGAAACATACCTAGATGTTTTGACATCTTGACATTTTGACTACATTATCTGTGTCACCCATACAACTTAGAAGAAGCCACTGCAATGTTGTAAACCATGGCAAGTCCTTTTTTCCCCCTCTCTCTTCCTTTTTTCCCCTTTTTTTTAATTCAAGGGCTTTTTCAGTTTATCATAAACAGTCCATGTCCTCCTTTGATCTCAGAACTTCCTCCTCACCCCCAGCCCCAAAGAAAGTTTCCCAACTATTACCCTCAGATGTTGGAACATAATATCAGCACAGATAAAAGGGGAATGATGAACCACTTGTGTAAGTAAGCCACGGAGGTTCTGGATCCAAAAGATCAAAAACACTCCAGCCAACCCAATGCAGGGCGTCTCCAGCTGTTTTTCTGACTATCCCTAGAAGTAAGACGAAGCTGACACCTCTTCCCTCTTCTAAACCCTCGGAGCTGGGTCCTTAAACAGAAAGAAAGAAAAGAGTGGGTTCAGCTATAGCAGCAGTAGGCTGATCTCTGGGTTCAGAAGGTTAGCAGAGCTTGGCCTGGTCAGTGTTTGGGTGGGAACCCTCCAGGGAATCCTATCCTCCCGGGCAGGAGGCTAGAGTGGAAGGTAATGCATGAAAAATGTGTCCATGAAGTCACTTCCATGAAGTCCATGAAGTCACGGAGTTCAGCTTGACTCAAGGGGATTTTGCATCACCTATTTAATCTTAGCTGATGGAAGCCCCTTGTACGTTAGAATGGGAAGCTGAAAAACTTCCCCAAAGAAGCATTTCCATACAGCTGCCAAGAAAGTTACATGGACGTGCCCATGAGGTTCCCAGGAGTCAAGCTTTACCTTACAAATGTGATAAACAAACACGGACCTGTTTAATAAACATAGTGACATTAGGGGAGCAAACTTAGATCTGCCTTCTTGCAGCTCCCGTAAGAACCGTTTTAAATTCCACCAAAGACGAATCCAGTTGGCTACACACATTTTACAAATCTCTAGAGAATAAATGTCATCATTTTAATTCAGCTTTAAATGCGCCAGATAAAAATTTGTGATACTTTTTATGATGGTACACACTCCTATTGTTCTAGTAACATCCATTCAGATTTATCACATTGAAGACTTTGATGCCAAGTACAAGATTTATTGTCAAATAAAGCCACATTTTGTTGTTTTTCATTGCTCTGCTTTAGAAAAGCATGGCTTCTGTTCTGTAATTGTGTGCACCAAATTATAGGAAGGGTTTTTGTTTGGTTTTCATCTAATTTTGGAGAACATGCCAAGTGCCCATAAAAAAGAGGAATATCAAATAGCAAGCCCAGCTAGTAAATATGGGCTAAAATTTGTTTTGAGGTTGCTAGTAACGAGAGATATAAAATATTTAGAGCAAAGCAAAACAAATAAATTGTCTGTCCTAATTTCTCTCCCCTTTCCAGCTCAGTGTTTCTGCTGTTGCAACTCATTACAGCTCTCTAAACCTTCCAAATAAAAGTTTTTCTAGGCTCCAAGGGGGATACAGACTCCTCGGATTAAGGCGATCAGATTTGCACCACAAAAGCCTGGGGGCCCATGCTAAACAGCCGCAGAGAGATGCCCAAAATTAACCCTTTGGTGCCATTTAGTCGTTGGTTGGATTTACGTAGCCCAGATCTGGGAGCCAACCCACACCATCACTGCTTATAACAAAACACAACAGCCCTCCCATCAGAGAAATGCAACTTTCCTTGCCCAAACACAGAGATACTAATGTGGGTCTTATGAAACTAAACTTTACTCATTCAAGCCTGAGTGTGCATCTACAACAGAAATGAAGTAGAGGGAAGGGATAGCCTGGAACAGCACGGCTGAATAATCTTTACTTTCAACCACTCTACTCAAAAGAGGTAAGAAGCAAACCAGGACAAGACTGAGTATTAGTTCTTTCATTGCTATTTATCTATTTCCACACCTCTCCCTTGAGTTATTAAGGATCAATCTGTATGGTTTTCATGATGAACTCTATGGAAGGAGTTTGCCATAGTGTAGCCTAGCTAGACTAAACTATGGCAAAGTCTAGCCATAGTCTAGACTATAGCAAACTAGGGATTTTCTGATTACACCGCCCTGTAATGGGCTGTGAGAATAACCTTGGGAGACAGGAGGAAGAGCTCTCCTTACCAAGGTTGTGCATAGGAAAGACCCCTGCAAAAAAGTTGCAAAAGTGTGTTTAAACCCCTCGCCCCACAAACACACACACAGATTAGGGGACTGGGAGCAGAACACTATTTTCTGAGAAACTGAGCGTTCACTCAAAAACAAATCTAGAAAAGCTTCTGCGTCTCGGGTTTTACGGTTTTGAATCTAGGCATGAAAAGTTTGCACGCAGCACTTGATGAAACTGGAGAACACTGTGAAGTGGATGATAGTTGAGGGTCGGGTTTCTGTGCTCCTGAAGATTGTTGTTTCCATTTATCACTTGCAAAGTATGAGTAAATAATACAAAATAATCAAAATGGCTAATTGATCAAAACTAAAATTGGAGTCCAGAACGCTGCAGGCAAATTGTGGAATCACACCCAACCCTCCTCTTTGCCTGTCCTCACACTGGAGAGGCCTTATTTTTGAGGGCCTCTCTAAGGTGTGGTCTTCCTCTCAGATGATGATGAAGTGGACAGAATTCCTAGCGAGCTCTTCAGCTACGGCTGGCCAAGGAGAGTTATTTCAGCCTGAAACCAGCCCAGGACTGTTTAAGGCTCTCTGAATTACTCTCCTGGATGTGTTAGCTGGATTTTGGAGTTCATGCAACATATAGTCCCTTTTTTCCATGAACCAAGTAAGCATGGTGTGCAAACAGGACCATTGTGTAACAAGAGCAGAACAGTTTCATTAAGATACATACATTAAAGAATAAGAATGAAAAAATAGGAGATTGCCACAGTTTACATTAGACGTATGTTAACAGCTATTATCTAACACTTACTAATGCTACCCAACAACATAATTTATGTTGGCAAGGAAACACGACCTACTAAAGTAAACATAGAGGTAATTCTCGCTATTCAACCACAATAGGGACCGGAATTTGGGTCACTAAGCAATTTGGTCGTTAAATGAATCAGAGCTGATTTTACTACCTTCTTTACAACAGACATTAAGCAAATCACCACAGTCATTAAGCGAATCGCATGGTTGTTAAGCGAATCACATGGTCGTTAAGCAAATCCAGGTTCCCCAATGGACGTTTTTGCCAGAATTTGCTTAATGACCATGTGATTCGCTTAACAACCATCATAAAAAGGTCGCAAATCATGATCAGGTGACCTCAGGGGTCGTAAAGCACTTTTCCCAAGACCATCATAACTCCGGACTGTTGTTAAATGAGCGGTCATTAAGCGAGGACTACCTGTAGTAGTAATTACTGCATGTAAGGTGGGCTTCCCCACAGTGACTCTGCCAGAGCCCTCAGCTTGTGCTTTACTTACTTATCATACTCACAATCCGTCATCTTGAAGCAGTTGACTTCCAGAATCCTCCTCAGCTCATGCCGCTGGATCTGTCCATTTTGATTATAGTCAAAAAGTCTGCAGGTCTTGATAAAGTGCTTGATCTTTTTAGAAATCTGTTAATACAAAAGATCTGGATTAAAATACAGAAGAGAACTGTTTGTAGTACTAGCTCCATACTAATACTGGGTTCTGATATCAAATAATATGTCTCCTTCCACCACAAGCTTTCATGAAAAAAAAAATTAACCAAATGTTGCATAAGCTGGGCGAGGGAGGGGGCGTCTTTCAAAATTAGGTTTGTAAAATTCAGTTTCCAAAACTATATTTTTACCCTGAGCAAATGGTAAATACACACAATGCCTTTGTTCAACTATGGAAAGCTGGAGATTAACTGAACATAATACTGAGGTGGGTAAGCTGTTTTAAAGAAATGGCTGGGTGAGCAAGTATTTGCAAAATACTAGTATTCTGCATAGTAAATCTTCCTTCAAAGCCAGGAAGGAGACATGTTAGAACCTCTCCAAAATTGCATTAAAATGAGGTGGGTGATATTTACAGTCTTCCTTTCTTTCTTTCTCCACCTGTACAAAACTGTATGGTAATATACCAGAAAGTGGTTTTTGAAAGCATAAGATATGAATCTACGCTTAGCTTTACACACAATTTCCATTTCAGTCTCTCTCCATTTGCAAGTAAAATCTCGGGTTAAATGTAATACACAACACCCAACATTTCAAGACACATTTAGAGGCTGAAAGTCAAGGATCTGCGGCCCTCTGAAATCACATCCGTATTTAAAAAAGAGGGGCAAGGGATTGCCAGAAGGATGACTTGCATTTGTGGCAAAGATTGGGAAAAGAAAAAATATATCTATTTTCCTGGGAAATACCCGTGAGAAGGCAGAAGAAAAGCAGATACCAATATTTGCTTTAAATCGTGTGGGATTATCCATCCTATATATCACTAGATGTACAAGTTCCACACGATAAATGAATGTTCTATAAACAAACACCTCATTGGGAGTCGGGCTGCATACAAGTTTAATAAATTATTATTATGGTAATCTGCAATTAGATTCACAGTCAAAGACTGGTGAAAGCTTAATAATTCAAGTCCTAACCAAGGACCTAAGAATTACTAGGCTAGCGTCTGGGGTTATAGGCAGTTCCAAGCAGGGTATTTTTTTTGTAAAATTAGGGTGTTCAGGTCTGATAAATTCAAAATTTCCAAATATCGAGGGAGTCCTTTAGGTATTGCTCCAAGGGCTCCAATCGCGATTGGTATAACAGTGGGTTTCTTTTTAGAAATTATTATTATTGGTCGCACAGTCAGCCAGATGTTCAGACTGGATCTGGCATTTTTGTCCACCTATCGAGTCCTTCCCAAGGACCTGGGATAGGCAGATGTTGTTGTTCGATGGCGTTAAAGGTATCATCGCAGGATGGAAGCTCTTCCAAATAAAGCTGGCTTTTGCAATTGACTGATGGTGATTTTG